TTTTAATAAACCAATGTTAAAGTCCCCGTTGCTTTGTGATAGTTAGTAAATGCCAACAGATGACCGATAAAAATCAGATTAATAATAAGAAATTATTTCGACTGAGTTGAAAAATCACTTTTCCCCTCTTTTAGTATATTGTGACATTTAATTATGGACAACATTACCAAAGCAAATTACATAATCTGTTTGATAGGGCTGTATATTAACTGGGTGTTTGTGTGCCAAGCTCGAATTGTTCTATTATTTTAATGAATTCAGTGGTTGCATATTACTGCTATCAGAGCGTTCGACTTTAATTTGTAATTACATTTTTGTGGCTTTTGCCGTTGACCATTCCGTAGGCAATTTGATTGAAGCATCCTTTTGACAGTCGGATGGTAAATAAAGCCGGGACCCCCCCTCTTCATTCTGCTCCAATTAAATACGACCAATAATAACGATATCAAGCACACGCCACGATGGCCCCACCCTTCGACAGACGCTTTTCCTGCAATTTTCCCCGCCTTTTTCTGCCTGTTCCTGCTCTTTCCCAGCTATGCAAATATCCCAATGACAAATATATTTAATTTATACACACTGCAGTGCACAAGCGCTATTTTCCTCTAAATGGAAAATTGTTTGTAGGGCGAGAGAAATGAGCAAACGTATATGTATACCCATTTTCGATATGGAGGGCAAACAACGGTAGGGTTTGTCAATAGAAGAGGTAGATTCCGGCGTTTTAACGGGCTTATCAGAGCAGTCAAAAGTTGAGTTTATTTATTTATTTATTGTGCAATGGAATTTTTAATTGACATTGTGGACGACTGTTTTTTATTGCATTAATACCTATATTTTTCAGTTATTATATAAGCTGAAATAAAAATAAATAAATACTTTAAGGGTTTCATTTAACGCACATATTTTCAAAAATTAATCAAATAGATTTTTATACAAATAAATATATAATTTTCAAAATTATTTGAATGGATTTTTAAATAATATAAGATAAAAACTTTAAAGTGTTTTACTTTGAGTAAATGTTAAATGTTTTATTTATTAGTAGAAGACTTTTTTTTTTTTGAAAATACTATTCTGCTTTTCCACTCAACTTGTTTGTTACCCTTAAACGGAAAACAGTCTAAACACATTTGCCAAAAGAAAACAAACAAAATGGCGTGATTCATGTGCGTTACTCATTTGCCGCGTTGCCAGCTCTACCAGCTTTTAACTTTTTATATGTTTATTTTTCAGTTTTCAGTTTTGAACTTGGCCTGCTTCATCCGCTCCTTTTTCCGAGAGTTAATTAATTATTAATATTTAATTTATAGCAGATGTTGCCTGTGTTTGGCTTCTAATTTAATGATGATGTTATTGTTTTGCCGCCTGCCCTCAGATGTTTTTGCTTGGATGGCTTTTATGATTCGCATTCGCACTCGGGCCATAAAAACGCAATTAGATTGAACGCCACGTACATAAAAGCCACATGAGCGGTGTCGCCCCTTTTCTTCTAATTGAAATAAATGGAATAATCGTCGGCCCCGCCCGCAAATAATTGACTAAAGTTGGCATTGCTTTTCGGTCGAAGGGAATTTGCATTTGCATTTGCGGTGCACAAATCCATTGTGCGGAATTCCATTTCCGAGGAATACTCATTTGGGGGATGTCCGATGTCCGATGGTTTACATGCAGATAACAACGCCGCGTATACGCAGTCTCCGCATCGGTGCGTATACGTAATCTCCGAGAACCAGCAATCCAATACACTGACTGATTGAATGATTGACTGACTGCCCACTGGCATTCGTCACTCAACTACACGGCAAACAATTGGATTTCGATTGTTTCGGTTGGGTACTTATTGTTATTCCTATATTTTCACAAGGTAAATTTTAAATTAAATATTACTCAGAACGATTTGAGCAAATAGTTTGTTATGTGTGCCTTATAATATAAAGAAATCTTTCAAAACTTTTAGTTTTGGTCATTTCAAATTTTTTAAATTTTAAAACCCAACTGAAAAATTATTCACAATTTTTAGACTCATTTTTTTAGTAATTTGAATTTTTACAAATTAAAAAACCAAACTGGCAAACATTTTTTTACCGTGTAGTAATTACATTGTGTCGCGATTTATGCTGGACCTAGGCCGTCATGAATCGACTGAAAAGGGATAATTGAAGGATTCCCGATTCCAATGTGACGACAATTTCATTAACAACTGATGGTTGATAAGTTGATTAAAGGCAACGATCGCATTGGCGAACACCAATCATTGTTTCTGGGTAATTCAATTATGGTCTTACATTTCAAAATTAAATCAGCGCTTTTCGTTTAAAAGGGAATTGAAAGATAGATGAAATAGACATGCTTCATAAATGCATGATTACACCGAATCGCCTTAATCAACATCAATTAAACAACAATATGTTTCCTTATTGTTACTCAATTTTATGGTCAATCATTTTAATAAATACTTATTTAAAAGTATTTTTTTAATAAATAAATATATAATACCTTCTCTGGTGATTTGCTTCCTTATAATTATATTTATCAGTTCCCGCGACAAATAAATGGAACTGAGAAATTCAATTTCATGCCCGTTTGCCCCCGATGACTGTGAAGCGTTTTCGAGGAAAGCTAGGGGAGTCTCAAAGCAGAGCTATCACATCCGGTCGCTCCTTTATTCGCCTCTTAATCCATAAACAGTTTGCCGCAAAGCGAAATTTATCCGGGAAGCCGTAAATCAAAACAGCTTAAAATGCTCAACATAAATCGTGGCGTTTAGAGGACGAAAACCATTAAATCGCGTTTACCAGTCCATAATTCCCCATCACAGATTTGTAGCTTCGCCGAAAAATGAATAATAATATCAGCGATAAGAAGAGACAAAGAGTTCATAATTATTGCTTGATTTAATTAAAGAAACTGCGGAAATAATTCATCCAGTCGCGAGCAATTTGTGACAAGAATCACTGAATTGCCTTCGATATTATCTGTGTAATTTATAGATGGCAATTTTTTCTTTTGGTTGGATTTGTCTTGTGCAAAATGTTATGTACACGATGCCAAATTGATGCCGTCTGTTATATTTATTCCTGTGCGCCAGCAAATCGTCTTTGGAATTTAATTCCAAGAAATAGTGTGTTCCCACTAGGAATTTGTGTAGTTTTCCTCTTTTTTATAATAAATATATAAAATAAATTAAATTAAAAATAATCCTTAGCTTTTAAAATAAAAGCTATTTAGTTTATTTAAAAAAGAATTCTTAAAATGTCTAAAACTGCAGCGAAAAATTCCTCGGACTTCCGGACTTTAAAATTTTGTTGCATACTTTTAGACACCTTTACAATTGATTTGAAAACCCCATTTTATTCTTTAGCATTCATGTACCGAACCTTATAGAAGCCCTTGCAAATATTATCTCCGCCGTTTTCGCAGTTGAAAAGGTCCTTAGAATTCCGTCAACGGAATTTCTTCATCTTCAGACGCACTCAATTATGCCGCTTCGTCCTTTTTCGTCGTCATCGTTTGTCAATCCCCCCGCTTTTGCTCCTTTCTGCTCCATTTTTGTGTTACTCGCTTAATAATATGTTAATTGACAGCTTAAGCCAACTGTCAGCGAAGGGTGCGTGCCATTTCAGACACGACATGACAGCACATATGTCTCCTCGATTAGTAGTTAGAGTGTAATGCCATTGGACAGCAAAAAAAGAAAAAAAGAAAGAGAAATAAAGGGAAAGGAAAAGAAAAAAGAACAGAGCAGAAATCGAGTAACATGTTTACAAGTGCCATCCTCGGGCGGCTAATTGATGCAGCGCACGTGGCGTATGCGCTATATATCTACCATCCTGGATTCTGGATTTTCGGCATCGATGTTATTTATTTAACTATGCAAATGTGATGAATGGCTGCCAAGGTCCACTGTCTATTTTCCGCAGTTTTCCCCCTGTCTCCCTGAAATGGAATTAAATTAATTTTGCATAATTTGTACATGGCCAAGCAGATGATGGTCCATGGGACACAGTGGCATTTGATTAACATGAATGACTGAAAATTAAATATGTCACTTTAAATTAATCCTATGGGGAAAGCGATCATCTTAGTGTAAAATTGGGAAAAATATGGTTCACCACTTTGATTTAAATTTGTTTCGAAATAAAAGAATATTAGAGTATTTAAAGAATATATTTGTGTAAAATTAGACTTTAAGGTATTTTTTTTTATCTTTAACTAAATCACAATTTAAACATATTTTATTATTTAACAATATTTGAAAAATGTGTTACGGTTCTCAAATAATTAAAATGCTATTTGGAAAATGTGTTGCGCTTCTCAAATAGTTAAAATGCCAAAAAATCAATACCACAAAATGTAATTGCACTATTCCAAGAAAACATTTGCATATTTGAGCAGGCAGAATATCTAGGGAGCAATTATATAGTAATTACATGAAGAATGTGGCAAATTTCTCATGTTACTAAAATGCAGTTAAATCAATTAGACCAAAAGTGCAATTTTACCACATTTAGAATGTGTTTACATTGGTATTTATGAATTGAAAATTTCTTGGAAAATTCAAAAGTCCTTGAAATTAAGTAAATTAAGTATCGCAAGTGCTGAATTTAGACCACTGTGCCGCTTCACACTTCACTTTCGTTTATTGGGGCAAAACAAAAAGGAAAACCTATCCATCCAAACGCCCACACATCGACGGCCTTGACTGTCCATCTATTTTGCGACGATATGGGGGGGCGATATGGATGTAGATTTATTCGCTTCTCTATGGCCACGTATCTGCATCTGCCAGTTCATATCTAAAATATTTATTACACCACTTCAATTTGTCTCTTTCAGGGCGATATAACTCACGGATATGCAAATGCTGAGGTGGGCGTGGCCGGGGGCGTGCCGAAACAAGCAAATGGGAAGCGCCGAACAATAGAGAGCGAGAGACATCCAATTAAAAAGGCCCTACAGAATCGAACAAGATACATATAGATAAGATATATATATATATATATATATATAGAGATAGATGAAAGGAATCTCTGCCAAGATGACCGGCCATCGGTCGGTGGCTCTTTTGTTGGCCATGCTAATTAGCAGTTGGCCAAAAGCCTCTTTGGGCGCCACTGGAAATGGTAGTATTATAAACGCTAGCAACAACAACAGTAGTAGTGGTATTGGTAGTGGCAACAATTATGCATTCACCTCGGAACATTCGGAATACTCGGAACACTCGGACCACAATGCCAACGACTCCATGGAGTACGATGCGGAGAGCGTGGCTCTCGAACGGATCGTATCCACGATAGTTCCGGTCTTCTTTGGCATTATCGGATTCGCCGGACTCCTGGGAAACGGACTGGTCATACTGGGTAAGTGGGAGGCAAAGAAAATAATCATACTGCAAGCTAAGGTTTTAAAATCACTTAAAAAGGTGTCTAAAAGTATGCAGTGAAAAAAGTGGCAGATTCGAGCCTTGTAAATATATTTGTTGCATACTTTTAGACACCTCAACAGGTCTGAAAATAACTCTAGAACCTAGAAAAGCATGATTGACTCATAAAAATAAAATAGAATAAAATAATTTGGAAAATATCATTCTAATCTATTAAAAAGCCAACCAAAAATCCTAGTACTTTTAGTTAGATTTTCTCCGCAGTGTAAGAGGGGCCCCCTTCTAGCTATAAAAACTCGGATTCGCATCCGGCGAAACGCTTTCATTAGCGGCCTCTGGCAAATTATGCGTAATAATTGCAAATGAAGCTGCAAAGGACGAGGAGCCATAAGGATGAGGTGCTGGAGAGCCATAAAAACATAAAAACGCCTGCAAGAGCTGCGCATTCAGGCGGAAGCTAATTGATTTTTTATATCCCATTAAGGGACGGGGCGAATGCGAATGCGAGTAACGGGAGGTGTGAGGCTGAGATCGTTAAGATTGCAATTTGCAAGTATTGCAGAAATTTAATAGGCGTGCAAAAACAAAACAACCGCATCTCGCCGTACAGTGCGTTTCAATTGTATTTAATTAACTAAAAAAATTATAATAATCGTAAAAGGAAATTAAATCTAAATTTAGTTCGGTCATTTAGGGAGCTGTGATATTAAATTTGATACTTTTTATTAGGAAACAATATTAAATTAAAACCCAAAAATGTGTCTTTTAAATACACTTAAAAGCTTGAAAGCTTTGCTTTTGAGCAGAAAAAAAACTAAAATAAATTTAGCAAAAAATTTGTATGTTGCCCAGTTTAATTGAATCATTTCTTAGCCACAAAAAGTAGGCAATGAAAGAATGTCAGGGGCCAAAATGGTATAGGACAAAGAAGGAATTTTACCTCAAACACTTGAGTGCCTGTGTGTGTGTGTGCAGGTGCACAAGTGTATGTGCTCTATCACCGACACAGCAGACTAAATCTCAACAGGCAAACTCATTTTGCATGCAATCTTTTCTTTTTTGTTTTTTATATGCACGCTTTGTTGTTTCCTCGTTGCAACCTTGGTGTGAAATTCTCAGAGGCCATCTTGCCTCACCTGGAATTTCCACAGGTGTGTGCGAGTGTGTAAGGGTGTGCTGGCCACACCCACATCCCACCGGAAAAACAAAGCAAAAACAAAACAGGGAAACAAGCTCAAACAGCTCGAAGAAAAAAGCTAAAAATAAGAAAATCGCAAGGCAAAAACTAAAAAAAAAATTGAAAATAAAAAATAAAAAGAAAGTGAAAAAAAGGCGGCTGCTGTGCGGCTGTAAGTGTAGCGGTAAAACTAAACCCCTGACGTCAAGCACTAAGAGTATAGGTTTTACACCAGCCACCTCTTGACTATAAGCTTTCGTTCAAGCCTTTCTCTTAAGCTCAGTTTCGCAATGAAAGTGAAAGTGAAAATGAAAAGGAAAACAACTCGTCGTAATAAAGACATAACAAAATTCAATTAGAACAAATTTAATTTTCTCCCACAGAAACCTGTAAAGATTTAATAATAATCTTTTCGCAGAAAACGTTTATGGACTTTAAAGAAAGTTTTTAAAACACAATAGGTGACCCAAAATTACCTTTAAAGGTTTTGTGGATTAATACTTAAATAATTATTATTTTATTGTATAAATTATTAAATTTTTCTTTAGATTACCATAACTTTTTAAAATAAATCCAGCGGTTAACATTTAAATGTTGTATTTTGTATGTTAAATGTTTGTTTTGTTTTTAATTTAAAACCGTATATTCAGATCCCTTGACTTGGCTTTAAAAATTTGATTTTCAAAATAGCATGCTCCTAAAAGTTTAAGGTTTTATTTAAAAATTTGTTTAATAATTTTCAAAAATAAATATTTTCCATTTTTTGTTCCTGATTGTAGCACTTTATCATGTGATAAAGTATGCCTTAAAGTTAATTTCTTGATAGACTTTTCTCTAGTTATCTTAACTGGAATTTAATCTCAGCCGGAGACAAATATATCCGAGAGCCCTTGAAAGTTATCCCAGAAGCAAATGAGGGGGTCAAAGTGCAGGCGTTGGTTGGCCACGCCCACTCCAGGCCGAGTGAAAAGTGTTTTCCATGTCACTTTTCCCCCGGTTTCCTATCGCATTCTCGGCGCTGTCAGGCCAAAGGAAAAGTTTTATTAAAGTCGCAAGTGGCATCCAATTGCCCAGGACAAGCAACCAACCAACGAAGCAACCCACCAACCAACCGCCCACAATTTCCCAGCATCCTCCTCAATTTTCCTCGGGATGTGCTACTGTGTGTGGAAAAGCCACTTTGTCAGCTGCGTTGGCGGCATTATGATAAATGATTTGTAAATGAACGTGTGGATTTTATGGCAAATTATGAAGGCGAAAATTAGAGCCACTCGAGTGGGAGAACTTCCTAGTTTGTCTAGTGCTGCAAGGACAACTCGAGTTCGGGGCAAAGCATCCAAACCACCTTCAAGGATGCCCTGAAAATTCTGCATGCTTTCAGAAATAGATGTAGCTATACAAGTTCTGGAAATATGCTAAAATAATACCGCAAATCTAGAGATTATGTGGAATCACTTTGATTCGAGTACAAAAATAACCATACAAATTTATTAAAAATACACATAAAATAAAAGCATTTTATAAAGCTTATTTTTTTTTTTTTTTTTTTTTTTTTGGTTTTTAATATAATTTTTACTGCATTCAATGTACCCAAAGAAATAGAAGTGACATCTCAAGATTTAGGTGTCTACGGTGCAAAGTGCAAGCGTTTATTTATGGCTTATGGAAAGATAATTTGTCAAAATGCCATTACACATGGGCAGTTCGAAGAACAAAAAAGAGGCGAGTTAGATGATGATCATCTTCAGCTACATCGGAGGCATTATAATAACATTATCCGTGTGGGAGATAAGGTGCTGCATTTTATGGCAGATAAGTCAATTTTCACACCCAAACACACAGCCGACACATTGATAGATGATGGCCCGTTCCCCAGCCATGGGCATTGGGTTTAAATTTATTTAATTTGAGCACAGCCTTCGCCGCAAAACTATGGCAATTCCCCAGATATTTGGCAAATGTATGCATAAGTTTGCACAACTCTGACACAAACTGTCAACAGCAATTTGTGTAAATCTGGCGAACGAAACAGAAACCACAAACACGAATCCAAAACTCACAATCCTTTATGCTTAATTATAATTTATGTTTCAAGAATATTGCGGGGGCCGCATTGTCACTTCAATTTGCATTGGCCTTTGTCAAATTGTCAGAGGAGAACGGTTCCATTTGGCAGTGTTTTTTGCCACGATTTCAGGCCTTCCATTTGCCTGGAATAAATCCGGCCGAGTGTCGAATATACAATATCCCCAGTCGAGGGGCGCACAAATTCTGTTATAAAATTGTAATTGCCTAGGCGAACAGAAACGTGACTCAGTCCCCCCGAAAAAGATAATCCTGTCTTTCTGATTCCCACTGGATGTCGAAAGGGGTGATGTGCCAAGATGAAACTGATTTGTTTTAAAAAGAGAAAAGACTTGCAAGTTTTCAACACGCTTTATTAGGAGCAAAGATTTCAATATTAATATTTTGTATATATTTGTATTTTGTATTCATCATTTTTAGATACTAAATAGTAGAGCTGAAAAATATCGAAATTTCGATATAAAATAATTTTCCATTGAAAAAAATAATTTGGAAGGTATCGATATTTTTCCACCTCTGTTAAATAGCTCAATTTATATGAAAATATTGATAATTTCCCAGCTCTATTAAATATCTAAATGTATATTCTAACTATTTATCATTATTTTTGTTTACCTCAAATTTTCTCTCCTCTCAAAATACAGGGTATTTGCCAGTCGAAATAACCTCAGCGTTGCCTGTATAACACCATTTTTTCTGTTCTCCTGACGGGGCTGGCAAATTTGATTTGGTCCCAAACCCAAAACATGTTTCTCATTCGGCTCAGTTTTCCCCCTTTCTTTTTTTTGGCCTTCCTTTTCGACAGATGGAACCGCAAAATCAACTTAAATGAAAGCGTAATACAATTTCAGGGGATATATAACCGAAAAGGGTTACAGATAGGATGGGATGATAAGCATGAAGAGAGAGAGTTGCGAAAACATTATCCACCTGCATCCTGGCATCCTGTGAACCTGTGAAGGCCACGCCAAGGACGCCAGCCATAAATTGTTTGCACTTTCGCCATTGTTATTATGGCTTTTCGCTGGAAAATGCATTTACCATTTGCACAATTTCCATGCAAGCATTGTTGGGGGGAATTCTCGATTGGTTTATTATAAACAAATTGTTTAGGTCACAACACTTGATAAGAAATTTAAAATGTATTGCCTGTTTAACATTCCATAGCTTAAATAAGTTACTTTAAATGATATTATCATAGTTTGTATCTTACAATATTTTATCGATAAATTTATAAGAGAACAGGGACCTCAAAAAGGTTTAAAATAATGTATTTTCGATTATTTTATTTTCTCAAAATATAAAAATATATATAAAAAAGAATTTAATGAAGAGTTTTCAAATATTTTATTCTCTTAAAATATTAAAAGAAATATAAAAAAGCCCTTTGCCATAGAATTACAAAGTTCGACATTTAAATGCCCTCTTAGCCCTTGGCCCAAGTTCCATCTACTCATCTTTCCACTCATTGTTTCTTTTTGTTGCTTGATTTTGTTGTTGGCTTGAAAGATACTTGGCCATAAAAGCATCCACACATGCATGAGATACACATAGGTGTAGGTGTGTGCACCTGGTTGGTCCCGATGCCAGAGGATACACCTGTTTCTATGCTCCAAACACTTTATTATCGAAAAATACCGGGCACTTCACTTCCTGGGCCAAGCCTCAATCTTCCGAGAGAGCTTTACATTTTCCCTTCAGGAACCGTATACCAA